CACACACTCCAGTTATTTGCAGCAGATCTGTTCACACACTCTCGTGCATAATGATTAAAACTACCACCAGATACATGTGGTTGGCTTGACCCACCATGTATTTTGGGCAGGGAATGTTATTATTGGTGCATGATTGGGTGCCTTTTAAATGGAGCTGCACACCATTGTTTTTTTTTTTTTTTTTAAAGCTGTATTCTTTATTCTAAACTTCTTATTCTAAGGTTCACAATATGGCTTCATATTTCCACCTAGGTGGAGCAAGGATTTCTCCTTTTGGTCAGAATCGAGCTGGGAGGGACCTTGGAGGTCTTCTAGCCCACGCACTGCTCAAACAGGAGATCCTATACCATGTCAGTCAAAGGATGGCCCAATCTCTCTTTGAAATGATGGAGCAGCCACAACTTCTGAAGGCAACTTCGGTCCCACTATTGAATTGTCCTCCCTGTCAAGAAGTTTCTCTTCAATTCCAGTTTTCTCTCCTTGACTACTTTCCATCCGTTCTTTCTTTATTCTACCTTCAGGTGCTTTGGAAAATAAATTGACTTCCTCTTCTTTGAGGCAGCCCCCCGATACTGGAATACCGCCATCATATCACTCCTGGTCCTTCTTTTCTCTAGACGGTCCATACCCAAATCCTCTAACCGTTCTTCCTATGTTTTAGTTTCTGGATTTGACATACAAAATTTGTTTTTGTTTTTTTTTAATTTTTAAAACTTTCCTTCAGCTTATTTGAGGCATGCCACAATGTTCACCTGTCTCTTCCTAACTGGGGGCAGCGGAACCTCCCAGATTTAGTGGGCATGAAGTTTGTGTAATATTATTTGCAGAGCCCAGTTTTAAACCAGGGAGGGCCCTTGCAATTTCCCCCAAAGGATATAACAACAAATGTCCTATGAAAAACCTGCGATTTGTGTTAAATCTATTCCTTGCCACTCAGGGACCAGGGTGCCACTCCTGCAACCTCTACAAAATACCGAAATATTAATGTTACGGCAACCTTTGGGGGAAGTTCTGCTATCAAATAGGAAATAATCGCTCAGTCGCTTGCTCTGCCTTTCATTTATTTTTGTCTAAAACGAAGACAGGGAGTCCTCCACTTACAACAGTCCGTTTAGTGACCGTTCAAAGTTATGATGGCCCTGAAAAAAAGGGACTTGTGACCGTTTTTCACACTTATGAGCATTCAGCCTCCCCCGTGGTCTCATGATCAAACTTCAGGTGCTTGATTCCTATTTACGACCGTCGCAGTGTCCCCGGAGTTATGTGATTTCCCCTTTTGCGACCTTCCGACAAACAAAATCAATGGGGAAGCCAGATTCACTTAATGACAATGTTGCTAACTTTAACTTCAGTGAAGAAAACAACCAAGTTTGTAGAGCAGCAAGGACCCAACTGTCCTCCTCCTCCTCCTCCTCCTCCTCCTCCTCCTCCTCCTCCTCCTCCTCCTCCCACATACACCCCATTTCCTCCTCGCACTGATGCTGTTACCTAGTTGGGTAATGAAACGTCTGCAAGAAAAGCACCAAGCTCAGAGAGCAGCAAGGACCCCACAATCTTCCTCCTCCTTTTCCTCCTCCTCCTCCTCCTCCTCCCCCCCTCCTCCTCCTCTCCACAAACCCCACTCCCTTCTAGCACTGATGATGTTACCTAGCTGGGTAATGAAACCTCTGCAAGAAAACCACCAAGCTCAGAGAGCAACAAGGACCCCCAACCCAAATGCTGGAAAGTTAGTAGATGTAATATATATATATTGTATACATATAGATGTAATAGATATATATATATTAAAAGAAAAATCAAAACGCTTCCTGGATTTTCCAAAATAAATCAGGGCAGGGTGCCAAAACTATCCGTTCAGCTCTCCCAAATCATGTGTGAATGAGGGAGAAGTAGTTTTACTCATCTGATGACAGACCAATCAACGTCCACACCCAAAACAACAAATCATCTTGGTTTTTTCAGAGACTGTCAGCTGTCTGTCTGTTTTTCTTTTCCCTTTAATCTACGTTTAACAGAGATGGCTTTTTCAACCCCCTTTTGTCAACCAGTGTGAAAATGCGCCAGATCCCCCCACCCCCAAAAGGCAAAACACAGGCAGACTCTGAGGATGGAAACGTGCCTTCCACCGTCTCAATGGAGACCATAAAATAAAAACCACCGAAGGGACCACAGCACAGCTTCCCAGAGCAGCCACAACACTTCCCCCCCCCCCCCCCCCTCCACATCCCCTCCAGAAGCCCCAAGCTTATCAATGCACATGTCTGTCACATGGACGCATCTCAAGAACAAAAGAAGTTAGTGCACGAATCGCTTAGCCAAGAATGACGTGCGCTGAGGCCGCACCGCTCTCTGCAAATCAAAATTGCCCTGTTGGAACATAGTAGTAGTAGTAGTAGTAGTAGTAATAATAATAATAATAATAATAATAATAATAATAATAATAATAATA